TATATATATATAATACATATATTACATACATATTATACATATATATATTATATGTAGGGAAGGCCCGCGGGGCTAGTTGTCACATATTAAAATTAAGCGAGTTGTACTATTACTTTCTGGAGGTTCGACTATTTAAATTATTTACCCAGTAGGGGTATTTGAAATGCAGTCGAGGTGATTAATTGAGCGCGATTTCACCGAAAGACCTTAACAGGTCGAGGCCCAGGCTGCCGTGTCATAACCATAGACTGTATAAAAACAGGTCATAGGGTCATAACCCGGGAATGGAGTTGGAGGAATGTAAATACTCCATGTCTATATAAACCTGGATTGTAAGAAATAAATGAACAAATATTCAAATATTTTAATTTAATTTTTAATTCAACACAGAAATTACAGCATTTTGAAAAATCTCTTAACTAATGTCAAAGAGAAATGTCTTGCCAACAGAAATCTTCAGTGTATATAAATGTAAACTTCTTTTTTCCCACTCATTAAAGCAGAAATTAATTGCTAAAGTATGTTACAACAAAGTTGTTACAACAAACCCAGTGATTCAACCATCCCCACTCTCCCTTAAATATGAATCAAGGATCAAGGTTATGAGCCCAGACCTCCAGAAACTAGATAACATGGATTAAAAACCCTTACTTGCCAAGAACCGGACTAAACTCTATCAAGTCTTTTAGAGATGGTTTGACATCAAGAAGTTTCTTGAACAGGGCTAAAGGAAAAGGCAGATGCACTACAGAGTTGTTGTTGAGAGCCAAGCCACACAGAATCCCAAACAGGAAGTACTTATCCTTCTCCACGCTGACCTGGTGTGGGATGATAAGTAGTTAAAGGAACACTCATAATCCTAGAAAATCGCAGCTTTTCATTTTCCGTCGGTCTTAGTACACGATGTAACTACAGAAGAGTCAAGTTTTAAATAGGAAAAATATAGAAACTCTTTGGTCATTTTTGAGCGAGAAATGATAACGGTCTAATCAGATTCAATGATCTATGCTAAGCTAAGCTAAAAGTGCTACCGCCAGACCCGGAGATCGGCTGAATGAATTCGAAAACCGTAAAACTCAACTGTTTAACTCTAGGGGAGTTGGAAAATGAGCCTATTTTTAAAAAAAGTGGAGTGTTCCTTTAAGGCCAAAATGAAAATACAGCAAACTGTAAAAACACAATGTATATCACATTAAAAGAGGCCTGACTTAACAAAATTGTATTACCATGTACGTCTTTAGCATAATGATCTAATTAAAAAAAGTATTTGCCTTACCTTTGTGGGGAACCAGCCCATAGTGTTGCTGTCATTGTACATGAGCAGCTGAGACTCTGGTGCACAAAGCTCTTTAAACACGTTGAGAAAAAAGTCCCTCTTGTTGACATCTGTTCTTTTGCTCACATCCTCCTTGTAAAGCACCTGTGTTAAATAACCAATGGCATTCATTCATGCTGCAGCTCATAAATCTGTTTGTCTGTTGCCATCTTGGTTTAGTTAAAAAAATTAATTCAGCACAGAATAATTGAAGTTTTTGAATCAAAACTTCACATAATTCAGTGTATGTGAATTCAGAGAATTTCTTGCCTTACCGACAGCCAGTATCTTCTGAGATCTACTGAGGGATCAGCTGTTCTTAGCTGATGGAAACAATCCTCCAGCAGTGCTGTGCGCCTCAGAGTCAGCTCAAAAAGCCAAAAGCATTTAAAATGATGTGAGCACAAAGAACATGGATGCAAAAGTCGTTTTCAGAACAATTTCAGGTTGATGTATTACCAGCCGTTCTTTGTTTTTCAAAAACCTACATTTTGACTCCAGGTCAAACATGTGCGGATATGATTTCAGATTGTTTAAAGCTGTCTGTAACAGAAGAAATGTAAAAAAGTAAGCTATTTTATCTGAAATATGCATATATATCGTATGTATGCAGCCAAACATCTTTGGTACTCACATCATAGTAGTGTTTAAATGCCACATATAAACCAATGTCAGTCCACACACAATCCTTCAAATCTTCCTCATTGACATGCAGCTGTTAATGTGGGGGAAATAAATCTCTTTTATTTTATCTTTCTTCAAACATTTCCATTGTGAGCTTCAATTAGTGATCTATCAACATAGCAGACCAGTATTTGACTTTTGAAATCATCAACAGACAACCATGGTCGAATGGAGTGTTAGTTTCCCCTCGTGTTACATCTACAATATATACTTTTATGATAGCTACATAATAGCATCATCCATCTTCCACCCTGTTCCCATATTGGGTAACCAGTAGTAAGAATTTCACAATTTTTGGTTCTCACCATAATTAGTAGATAAATAATCTCATAGATCATGAAGTCACTCTTTGTGATGTTTCTGTTGGTATTGCAGCAGACCTTCACAATAGAAACACAAATGTATTTCATATATGAACTAAGGTTAAATGGCTTTTTACATGGTACGTAAAGTAGTAGACAGCAAGTTTTTGCAATCTTCCATGAGGTGATCACTGTAAAAATACTGAATTATGTGATACAAGTAAAATAAACCAGTTAAATAAAATGACATGTATTTATTAAATGTTTGGTTTTATAGCTTGTATTTTATAGTTACTCCAGTTTTCACAAATCGCGTTCTCTTAAAGCGGAGTTCGTAATATCAGCTTTAAGAAAGTGTTTTTATGAAATGATTTAAACTGAATAATTACTGTTTACTATTGTCTTTTTAGAGGTTGGTTACATTCATAACCTGAGACGTTCCCATTCGAATGGAAACTCACACTGCGTCCCCTACAGGACACTATGAGACATTAAAACATTCTGTCATTATTTACTCACCCTCATGTCTTCCAAACCACTATGACTTTCTTTCTTCTGTGAAACATAAAAGAAGATATGCTGAAAAATGTCTCAAGTCAATGGTAACCAAAATTGTTTTCTAGCATGCCACAATTCTTCAAAATACCCTTTTTCAAGAAAAAAAAAGTCATTGCTGGTTTGGAATGACATAAGGGTGAGTGAATGATGACAGAATTTTCATTTTTGGGTGAACTATCCCTTTAATTTAACAATAGCCGAACAAATTTCATGTCACAGGATAGAACAGTCAATGTTGGCTTTTTTTATTACATATAAGGTACTGTAAATGTCAGGTCGCTATTAGAACCCAGTTTGAAAATATGTACTGTCAAACCAGGATGGATGTCTGTTAATGAAATCACACCTCACAGTGGCTGGGTACTGTGTAAAAAGCCATTACATTTTTATTTACTCAATTTTGTCTTGTGATATAATGTGTAACAAAAGGCACCTTATAGACCATATGAAGGATCTGCACAAATTTCTTCAAGCGTCTTGGTATGTCCCAGTTTATTCCTTGAAAAGCAATCTTTTCAATTAACATAGCAGATTCTTTTTTAAATAAGTCCACCACGTTTTTGAGCCAATCTTCAGGGAGTCTGGACCAGTAAGTCTCTGAGAATATAACATAACAAAAATACTTAGACAAAATAGCATAAAATAATGAAACAAATACAATAAGGACAACTACACAAAGGCTGAAAGGTCTTCAGCTTTACCTAACACCTTGCGAGCACCAGGATTCAGCTGAAGGATTTTGGAGGCCAGAGCTTCAGTGAGTTCAGTTCTTTGTTGTTCCTGAAGATGTCTGGTGAGTTCAGGCAGGAGAAGATAAAGTCTCAGAGCTTCCACACCAGCTTTGGATTCAGAGACGACAGCATCTGTTGAACCACCTTCACTACCTGAGGTACAAAAAAACAAAAACTGAATCTTATTGTCTACATTACAATCTAATGAACATTTTTATAAATGTTGGAATCATCATTACCTCTGATATTAAGCTTTTATTCTCTGATAACTTTGCAAAGGATGATTTAACCAGATCAAAATCCAACCCACAATGATCCTCAGACGTCCGATAATGGTCATCACAACTACAAAACCAGACATTAACATTAAAATCTGTGCTGGAACCACTGATCTATATAATGATATATAATATAAAGATATATAATGATTCTCTATAATAGATTAGTGGTTGGAACTCATTTTAGGCACAAAAAAAGAGATTAGTAGATTACAAAACGACCTAATTATGAGCTACCTTGTTTTAAGAAAACTTCCATTCAGAGATGCAGTGGAGGAAAATACTGTTTATTTCCCTGTACATGACAAAACAATTTCATGGTTATTATTATTATTATTTTTTAATAATAAATATTGCATATTCTTTATTATTTATTATTAAATAATAATAAATTAATATATTTTTAATAATTATTATTTAATATTATTTGTAAAACGACATTTAAAAAAGAAAATTTCATAAGTGGCAGGGACATTTACAAAAACTTAGGTTCCTCAACATCAGCATGAAAAAAATGTCAGTGAAAGCATTGTGTATAAAAGTCAAACACTCACTTCTTAATGGCTTTCCATGAATTTGTATCACTTTCGGACACCCAGCAATCAAACATTCTGTCATTTAATGTCAAAATCTCTCTGCTTGTATTGGATTTGGCCTGTTCTAACTCATTCCCAAGTTCCTACAAAATACAAAAGAGTAAAAAATAAGTGCTCTGTGCACTAATAGTTGAACTCTTAAACTGTTTGTGAATGAAAACGGTCTGTCTTACTTTGACAAGTAAGGCAAAGGAATGATTCTTCCCAGCAATGAGTTTTGCAATCGTATATTCATGATTATATTCTGTGTGCAACAAATATTTAGTTCAGTTCAAATATTTAGCGCT